GTTTATGATGGTATTGCGAGTGGCGCGAAGTTACACAGTAGCCCGTCGTTTGTTTATGCGCCGCGGCCAACCTTTACGCCGCCTGTACACCAAAACCACATTTTAAAAAAAACACATGAGACTTGGTTGAATCAAATTTCACGAAATCTTACCAGGGGGAAGTTTCCACATGTCTAAAAAATCTGTTGTCTGTAAAGTCGGTTTACTGACGATAGTTGAACGTGACAACGTCATAAGAAAATCCTGATGGAATGGTTGCATTTTTCAAAAATGTATTATTGTATACGAGTAGCAGCTGTCCACGCGGACGCATCGCTCACTCAAGTAGGAGAGAGACAGATATCGAACGCTGCCGAACGCGGAGGCCGATTGTGCCTCTTTGTCGCTCGTTCCGCGCTCTCGCTTGCACTTCACGCCTTAAATGGAACGCCTCAGAGCGAGGTAACGCCGCATGAGTCATGTTTTTTCGTGCGTGCAGCCGGCTCCATCGAATTATAAGACGTTGTCACGTCAAAAATTGGGTGTATCTGACAAGATGATAGATAAAGCGGTTGAATGCTGAAAGCGTAATTGAGTACGTATATAAACGTCAAGGTACAACAGTCTTTCATGTAAGCTGCAAAGAGAATTCAAGAGTCAAGAAATATTTTTGAGCAGCTATTGGCTGTGGCTTCGCTCTCGTGATAATCAGACGGGCCTGTTGGTCCAGTGGTTAGTGACCCTGACTGCTAAACCGGATGTTGTGGGTTCGATTCCCACCCAGGATAAATATTGTGTGATGAGCACGGTCATTTGTTCTGTGTCTGTGTGTAATTTATCTATAATATGTATCTATTTAGAAATATATAAGTATGATTATCAGCGGTTTGGTTACCATAGTACAGGCTCTGCCTAGTTTGGGATCAGACGGCCGTGTGTGAGTGTGTGAGATATATTATATTATTAATCTTTTATTTCGTGTTTCTAGCTTTGAAAATAAGGTTCTATCTTTAAACTTCCATACAACTGTTCATGACTTATTTACTTATTAGAGGCAAAATTTCCGAAAATCCTTTCTTAGTGGGTGCTTACAATATAAAAAGCATCAGCTCCTAAAATATCAAGTTTGTAGACCCAGCGGTTTAGGCTCTACGTTGCTAAGTCAGTCAGTGAGGCCAGTAATTTTATGTGTATAGACGATACTTCACTACGGGAAGAGGTCAGTTACACGCTGTGGATGGCCCGAGGTACATCAGGGTACCAGGGATTTCCTTTCTAGGGTAAACCTTTGACTGCACGGATGGCGTAATGGTTTAAGCCGTCGCCACGCCGCTTTCTATTGCGCCGAGTGTTGTGGGTTCAAACCCCACATGGGATAACACTTTGTGTGATCCACAAATTGTTGTTCTGAGTCTGGGTGTACTTTGTGTCCGTTTCATGTATGTTTGTAAAGTCCCCCGCGACACAGGATTTATTCCTAGTGCCGGAGTTGTCTTTAAAAAAAAAGAAAGAACCTAGTTCCCCGGCTACTGGTACCCGAGACGGCGTGCGGTTTTTGGTCGAGGAAAAAAAGATGATACTTCACTATAGTTCACTGTGATAAATAAAGGAGTAGAACATCCGTTCACCACGAAATGATGTAAAAAATATACCGTTACTAATATATCTGTATAATTAAATGTATTACAAAAAATACTGAGGAACTGTTGTGAAGTTTTTTACAGCCTTTTGACTTTAAGTAACCTGTGAGTCAAGATTATACAATAGACATCTAGTTGGTGTTTTTCTCGATACACTTTTTGCTATTTTGAACCGATGTCTTTTCGGCGTGATTCAACAAAATGCATTTTAAAGTTAAAAAATGATATGATTAAAAAAAAATTAATTGATAACCTCTTCTTTTGTATTTTTGAAGTCGGTTAAAGTAATAACTTGACATATCTTATACATGGCCATCTGATCCTAAATTAGGTACACTTACTGACACAGAGTACAGTAATACCATTAAAGACTTACTGACAATTCGGACCCCAATATATTTGAGCCATAAATTGATTGAATTGACTATGGAATTAACACTTTTTTTACTAACAATTCGGAGACTACCCCAAAAACAGTTTTGTACAGTCAGATTCAAAAACATGGTTTGCTTCTTTAATAAACAATACAATTGTTTCAAAAGTTGTATACCTATGCGTCTATAATACACAACTGTACTACAAATATGCTGGAAACTTAGCATTTTGTGAGAAATAAAGGATAATAAATTTAATTGTACAAATAAGTAACCTGACTCCTGAGTTGCAGGCGTTCATGGGCGGAGGTGGTCGCTTTCCATCAGGTGACCCATCTGCTAGTTTGCCCCCTATTCTATAAAAAAAACCTATAATAATCACAGAATTTGCATAGCGTTCAGCTCAGTATTTAAGTACACCTACCGAATCAAACAAATACATATTTATAGAATAAATTAAATTAAATTGCAGTTACACGAAACGAAACAATAGCGCGATCTAAATTTGATCGTTAGGCCATCTATGGAGATAGGTTACATTTTAGTTTTGATTTTGTTCACATTTTTGAACAGTCCTGTCAAATAACGTTTGGTATTCTAAAAACCTAGTACTTGACAGTTCTAAACTAATTCTTAGTGATTTTTAGGTTGGTTTAGAGAGTTTTCGAACAACAGAATAAGCACCATTGGTAAAAGTAGTTATATTTTATAAAATATCTTGAATCACCCCGCACTTTTGCTTTACCACACGCCTTTTAGTACGCAGCAAAAGACACTACCGTATTTTTAGGTATTGAAACGCCGCGGCGCCGTTAATCTTGAAGAAAATCAGGATTATCTGCCACCAACCAAGATTAAAGATTCCGTTACATACATACATCACATCAACAGCCTTTACTAGTCCACTGCTGGACATAGACCTCTCCTTAGAAAGGAGGTTTTGGCCTACTATACCACGCTGGCCAGACGGGTTGGTATAGGGTTTGTGTCAAGTTTTCCTTCTCTCTGCAGTGCTGTTATTCTGCGTAGTTTTTTCCCACAGTCGGCTCCTACGACACCCACGGGATGAATAGTGGTGGTGACACTCTGTATTCTGAATATGTCACCACACGGACCATACGATACATACATACCAAGCTAATAAAAGCGTGTTAAAAAGTAATAAGTAAAATCAAATCACAGATTATTGATTAACGTTTAAAAAAAATCTAAAATTGCCCTAATTCTGGGGTCACTCAAAGTCTGGTAACACGCTTCTGACTCTCGACTATCCATGGCCGACGGTAATCACTTCGCGTCAGGTAACCTACCTACATATTTACCTTATACAATAGAAAATCGTGATAATATATCTATTTTTGCTGTATTAATTAAACAATGGCGCCAAGATCACTCCAGAGACAAAAAATGTCAAATACATTTTTTTTTTCAAATGGATTTGGGTAAAAAGATAAAAGACAATTGTAGGAATAGGGTCTATTGTTATATTATCTTAATTTATTTATCAGAGAATACGTTCTATGTTTTAATCGTGCTTGTTTGTCAAGGCTAGGAACCAAATTGTCTGTCCTCAGCCTTAATTATGTAATAAAATATGTTGAAATACTAGTTTTTGACCTTATTTTTTTTGATAAACATTTTTTTTATATTATCGTGGTTTTGGTATCTATGTAGCTACGGTTCATATATTAATCTCTTATGATTTGACCTTATTTTATCTATGATAGTTTTAATTACTTGTAACCCTCAAAAACATTGTTTCATGGCATAGGGGACAGCTAGACGGCTCGCCTGATGGTAAGTGACTACCGCCATCTATGAATACTTGCAACTTAAACGGGTCTTTGAATGCAGAATTAGGGAGAGGTGGAAAGAACTCCGGTAACCTTACTCAAACGATGAAAAACAACGAAAAATTCGCTTAACACCGGTTTTCTGTCAGACCGAGGACGTGTGCCGTATCACTCAGGTTGACCCTGCCCATGTGCCGAAGTATGACTCTCCCCTGTTTAAACACATTAGTCACTGAAGACATACACACAGCTGATGTTACAAGAATACAGGCAGGACAACTTGCCGCCTTGATCCAGTTTATTTCTTTTTTAAACAACCAGTCTACTGCTGGTAATCAGCTTATCCTAAAGTAACTTCTCCTTCGACATGTAATCTATGAAAACTATCGTACATAACAGTCCATTATAATATCTTGGTATTCAGTTCATTATTAGTAACAATAATGTAGCGATTACTTCAAGAACCTACATATTTATTAAAAATTAATTGTCTAAATGAATTTTTTACTACACCTGGAAGTAGAATCAATGACCTTGCCATTAAAAGATTATTAAGAATGGCTAGACTTCCATGTTTGTTGTTGATTAGAATCATTAAGCACTTATTTATAAGCTTATTACATATCAATAGTCAAGAAATATGTATGTAATTCAAAAATAAAACAGTAAAGGCTACCTGAATACTAATTTTATGAATACATATTTTTTACAGTAATTGAAGCGTTCAAGTAAATATCAGAATGCGCTTTCGAGTGAAGATTTAATGTAAAAAGTATCGCGTGCGCCCCTGCCCATATAACTCATTACAAACTTTAAAACAACTTCATTACAGTGTATAAAACTAACCACTATCAAATATGATCTTTAAACAATTGTGTTAAAGACGAAAGTTAATGGATTAAAATTTTCAAGATGGCAGATTGTATGTCAAACTTGTAACGCCATATTGGTTTGCGGTAAACTTCAGTTTGTTTAAAACCGTGTGGCGGAACGCACGTTGTGTGTTAAAACTAAAATAATTCAGTAACAAAAGTAACGTTTATTTTACAAATATATGTACGGATTATGACTTTGTGGTGTAATAAAGATTATTTTATCGAAGTTAACGGGATAAAACTTTGTTATATTTACAATTTTAAAGTTAAACAGACCCATTGTTTGTGAGTGATCAAAAACTGTTTGAGAAGCGGTATAAACAATGATTGGCTAGCATTATGGAAGACGTGTACACAATTAAAGTTAAAACAAAGCCCGATACAAGGAACCTATATCCGTCCGAGAGGCGTTATTCAGCGTCTACGGTCTCAGGACTGGCTTGGGTACATATTGCATTAGCTGCAACGTCTTTTCTTCTTGCCTGCTTAGCATTAGTTAGCCCTGGTGCAGAAATAGTTGCCGAAAATACTGCAAATAATAGTCAAAAAGTAACTGACAGCGTCAACGGACTAATTCAAAATGAGAACGCTACCTTATTCGAAAATAATGGAACTCAAACTAATTCGAATAATTCGAACTATGTACTGAGTTATTTGAATAAAACAACGGTTTTTAACGGACAAAATGGGGACAATAATTACTTTTTAGTTATAGCCCCCACTTTGATTGCTATATTCGGATTGGCTGCTGGCATTGCTAGTATTTTAGCATCGGTGAAATGGTACATAGACCATAATATAACATGGCTGTTTATTATGTCTTGTTTATCGACTGTTGTTTCGTTAACATCATTTATAATGATCGCTGTATGGTTTATAACTACGTCGGAAGGTGACATCACAGACTTTTATAAGGACAAAGTCCCTTTTAAAGACTATTTAGTTGTAAAACATAGCGATGTTTTATTAAAAAATGAATCGCATATGGTCATCGCGCTTAACCCAGTAACTGATAGCGAAGAATCGCCGAATATGTTTACAAAAGGTGTCTTATCTATAAATATATTGATAGCAGCGTTCTTGGAGCTTTTGTGGTCGATTTTGAGCGTAAAAATTTCTTATAAAGGCATGAAAAATACTTACAAAGAAGAGACGGAGAGACGAGGTAACTGCATCTCTGTTGTGACTAAAATAAAAGGGAATGATACAAAAAAGTATCCGAGAAGTAGCAAAATTTTGCCTCCAAAACCCGATTTGATTGAGCATTATCCAAGTAAAAAGATTAAAAGGATCTTCTTGGCGCAATCGGACAATGGTTTCTATTTAAAAAACCAGCCCAACAAAGCTAAACCTAACACGGAGACCAGCTCAGAGTTTTACAAGGAGCGAATGATGAACTTCCTAAATCGATGCGCTTCTTTAGAAGGAGTTTCGAACCCGGAATTTAGTCCCAGTGTGAATTCTGATACTCTAAACCCAATTCCTGAGGGTATTTCTGTGGAGACACCAGTACAAGAACATCAGCAACCAGATGTAAAGGGCAGAACGACCCCAGTAAGTTGGGGGGACACCCCAGAACACACAATATACAACCAGAATACGTTGAATTTGGACAAAATATTTAAATTTAAACAGAATGTGACAATGAAAAGTGAAAATGAAGAAACGTGAATGTGTTATTATGACACTGGAGTATAACACGCGAACAATTCGTGATAATTCATAGGTATGTATGACATGTTTGTTTTTTTTTAAGCGACTTCAAAAGGAGAAGGTTATCTCTTAATTTGTTTTTTTTTTAAGTTTGTTACCTCAGAACTCCTTTATCTATGAACCGTTTTGGAAACTATTTTAATTTATTTAAGAGGGTAAGTTTTTTTACCGTAGGAGAGTCATGCTTCAGCATAAATGGACCGGCTCGACCGGAGTGATATCACGGCCTCACAGAAGACGGCTTTTAAGCATTTTTTGTTACTTTTCACTGAGTGAGTGAGCAAACCGGAGCCCAAAGGGCGGCAACTCACGAAACTTCTGAGTTACGGTGTCCATGGGTGGCTGTAGTAACTTAACATTTCATCCTGTGACCTATCTGTTCGTTTAAATAAATATTGGAAGAAAACGGTGCGTTTCCAGTGACGCGGAGCTGGGTGGAGTGGAGACGAGCGGACTATGTATTGGCCAATGACTTGAACTGAATTGGTTTAAGCGGTCACTGCCGATTCCCACTGCGCTGAGTGTTGTGGGTTCGATCCCCACATGGTATAACACTTTGTGTGATCCATGAATTGTTGTTCTTTGTGTCCGTTTCATGTATGTTGGTAAAGTCCCCGCGAACGCACCTCACGGCGGATAATTAAGGAATAAATAAAAAAATATATTTTAATGCATCATAATTAGTTCAGGCTGTGCGGATATTTTTCCGAAGTATTTTTTTTAAACCAATACATTTCCCTACAAGAATTATCACGTTGAAAATCCAGCCAGTTTATTTTTTTCTATCTTAACATTTTTTCCGTGTGGTGACGGATTAAGAATACGGAGTGTCACCACCCCTATTTATCCCGTGGGTGTCGTAAGAGCCGACTAAGGGAGCAAACTACGCAGAATCACAGCACTGCAGAAAGAAGGAAAACTTGACACAAAGCCTATACCAACCCGTCTGGCCAGCGTGGTATAGTAGACCAAAACCTCCTTTTTAAGGAGAGGCCTATGTCGAGCAGTGGACTATTAAAGGCTGTTGATGATGATTGATGATAGTTTTTGATACTTTTTTTTAAGTTAATTATTCGGAATAGTCTAGTTGAGTGTCCAACATTGTTCCTTTTCTCTCTCTTTCTAACATAGCGGTTTTGTTTGTGGTCAAATAGCCAATTAGGTTAATTAAAACATAACCGTATTATGAAATAAAAATGTTCACTTAGTAACGGTAAAAGCTTTTATTTAATACAAAGACTACCATACCTTCACGCCTGTTACACTGGAGGGGTAAGCACTAAATTGATGGCGTAGTCATTTATCTGGTCACCACGCTACTTCCTACTGCGCTGAGTGTTTTGGGTACGATCCCCACATAAGAAAATACTTTGTGTGATCCACAAATTGTTGTTCTGAGTCTATGTGTTTTTTTGTGTCTCTAGGTTTGTAAAGTCTCCCGCGACACAGGATTTATTTCTAGTGCGTGGGTTGACAAAGATGGATGACAACACTTGAGAAAGGGATATCCTTCCATTGTGTGGGCATGTTAAAAGAATTAGCAAAGAGCAAATGACTAGAAGAGTTTACAAGGCTTTAGTGAATGGGTTAGCCGTTTCAGGCAGGTCTTGTAGAACACTGACCAGCTCAGCAGTGTACAAAAGAGCCTCATTAATAACACCCGTAACCGGCGAGCTTATATAAAAAGCCTGACGAATGTGGAAAAGGGCTGTATGTTAGGATGGTGGTAAATCACGTTGTATCGTCCGTGTATGAAAATATAAGCTGTGAGGCGAGGTGGCCTTAAACTTCTACGCCATACGTGTGCAGTCTTTCAACGAACCATTTTCTCACCTCGTCCTTCTTCTCAGTCAATCTTAGGTTAAATTACAAATCAGTTGCCGTACTTTTATCCTTTTAGTACCAAGTCAAAACTATTTAGTACACCTACATATTTATAAAACGCTAATTAAAATACTTAAATCAAGTTAAAAGCGTTAATTTTATCTATTAAAACATATTCTATGTTGTCTGTGGTTTGTGACAGTTTCGTCATTAAAATGGCGGCAATTGTGGTAAACGCAAATTGGTTTACGAAATTTTTTGTGCAATAGACAATATTGTTCATGGCTCTCGTGTTTATGGGGAGAGTTTTATGTCACTATCCGTTAAACAATTGGGTGTTGGCTTGATTGACCTTGAGTTTGCGAAAGAGATAACATGAACAGACAGAACCAACTCTGGCTAATTGTAAAAAGAACGATATGATAGCAACATAGCATTTAATTAGTAATTAATTATTAATTTAATATTTAATCTAATATTAATCGTGAAGAAAATTCTTTGTAGGTACCCTTTTTTAAACAAATATAGCACACATAACCATTATTTAGTTCAAGCTGGTACCCGCGACTTCATTCGCGTGGAATTTGAAAAGCGCTGCCTTAATAGTTCGATTCCCGGACCGGGCAAAAAATTATAAGGTTTTTCTGGGAGGAAACATAGCCTAAGTTGCTCCTTATCTAGACAACTACCTGGTAGTAAAATATTATCAAAATCGGTCAAGGCGTTTTAGATATTACCCGGAACAAACAGACAGACAAAAAATATTTAAACTAAATAACCTTGCGAGCATGAAGAAACCTATTACTTTGACATTACAAACAGACACGTCAATTTTATTGATTTGTATATTATTAAATATACTTCAGGTTTATAATCTAGAAAAAAGGAAGCTATTCCAAGCAATATGTGCATTATAAACGACAACAAGCAAACAAACCAAACACACAAACGATCTCTCAGCTTTATACATTAGTTTAGATATTTAAAGACACACTTAAATATATGCACTAGGTATTTTTCGGAAACTAATGACGGGCCTGTTGGTCCAGTGGTTAGTGACCCTGACTGCTAAGCTGGAGGTTCGTGGGTTCGATTCCCACCCAGAACAAATATTTGTGTGATGAGCACGGTCGTTTATTCTGTGTCTGGGTGTAATTTATCTATAATATGTATGTATTTAGAAATATATAAGTATGTTTATCAGCAGTCTGGTTACTATAGTACAGGCTCTGCCTAGTTTGAAATCAGACTGCCGTGTGTGAGATGTGTGAGGTTATTATTATTAAAAAAAAATCGGTTGTCTGTAAAGTCGGTTTACTGACGATAGTTGAACGTGACAACGTCATAAGAAAATACTGATGGAATGGTTGCATTTTTCAAAAATGTATTATTGTATACGAGTAGCAGCTGTCCACGCGGACGCATCGCTCACTCAAGTAGGAGAGAGACAGATATCGAACGCTCCCGAACGCGGAGGCCGATTTTGCCTCTTTGTCGCTCGTTCCGCGCTCTCGCTTGCACTTCACGCCTTAAATGGAACGCTTCAGAGCGAGGTAACGCCGCATGAGTCATGTTTTTTCGTGCGTGCAGCCGTCTCCATCGAATTATAAGACGTTGTCACGTCAAAATCTAATCGGTTATCTGCTAGTCTTAGTAATACTTTACTATTTTACTACGAAAATACCTTTTATGTCAGTTGATCGGAACTGAATTGTGACCGAGAGAATTGGCCTTCTGGTACAGAGTATCATTCAAAATCAAATTTATATCGATTGTTTTAGTCAATAAATAAACAAATCGATATACAATTTTAGTTAAGCTATTGTTTTGTTGCCAACGGATTCGTGAATCTATTGTTTTAACGTTTAGACATACTTAAGAGACCTTCATAGTAGCTACTAGTGGAGTTCAATGAACATTGTGAAATCGTAAAGGGCTCCGCACGATTTGAATGGTATGTTGGTCTAGTGACCGTAACTGCTTAGCCAGAGTTCGTTGGTTTGATTTACACCCAGGACAAGTTATTGTGTGATGAGCATGATTATTTGTTTTGTGCCTGGGTGTAGTATAGTGTGTCTATAATATGTATGTACTAGCGACCTGTCCTGTACTGGGTGCATGACAGCACAATAGAAATCTTTGGAATATTCGGATTTTCTCTACTGTAATTATACATTTATACTAATATTATAAAGCTGAAGAGTTTGTTTGTTTGTTTGTTTGAACGCGCTAATCTCAAGAACTACTGGTCCGATTTGAAAAATTCTTTCAGTGTTAGATAGCCCATTTATCGAGGAAGGCTATAGGCTATATATCATCACGCTAAGACCAATAGGAGCGGAGCACCAATGAAGAATGTTTCAAAAACGGAGAAATTTTATGACTATTGAGAGACGCAGACGAAGTTGCGCGGGTCAGCTAGTTAAAAATATAATTATACTGAGAGTTTGGAATTGATAAGTTAAAAAAAATAGTTCCTCATACAAACTTCGACCGTTTTTTAAGGAGTTGTAACAACGTTTTTTATTACTTTTAATAAAGAACAAACAACGAAGTTTCACATAAATTTCCAAACCTCATTTTGCTTCGTTGGGAGTTTAATTTAATTCCTAAGGAACATTTATGAAAAATTTCATGCTTCTAGACCCAGTGGTTTCAGCTATGCGTTGATCGATGAGTCAATTAATCAGATATAGATTTAGTAATATATAAGTATGTTTATCAGCAGTCTGTTTAACATAGTACAGGCTCTGCCTAGTTTGGAATCAGACGGCTGTGTGCGAGATGTGTGAAGGTATTATTTTTATTCAATAACAATGTAACTATTTGTGTTTAAATACCTTTTTTTTCTGTGCGGAAATTCCCACGGGTACTACCTACCGGTGGCTATGTCAGATAGAGAGAGAACCCGTCCGCCCCCTAGCTTGCGCTCCACTATGCCCTCCGCTAAACAGAGGGACACGCGGAAATCCTCCGAGCAACCCTCGGCAGGCTGTTCCCTCCTCAGCCCGAATTGGTCGTAGGCGGCAGCGCCTTTACCTAAGCAAAGAGGCGCTGCCGTCTTCGCTGCTAAAGGGTGCACCACGCGGAGGTGCCGGACCCCGCACTCTGTTTAAACACCTATTTTTTTTAAATTAATAATGTAAATACCCATATTATTTGAAAAGCATCTAAGTATATTTTGTTTCT